ATATCAAGACCACCATCCCTTATAAATACCCAAAGGCTCAACATAAAAAACAATTTCAAAAAAAAAAACTATGTATTATCATAAATTGTTATTATTAAGAGGTTGGCTGTAAAAACTAATCTTTTTTTTTATTTTTTTGTTTGTTGTCCAGTGACTTATTTACTGTGGAAATGGCATTGTCTTCTGATTATAACGGTGATAAGAAGCACGAGATTTGCACGGAGTTGGAGAATTTGAGACATCATTTGAGGGACATTGATGCTCAGATACATGAGGCTAGATTAATAGGCAGGGCTGGAATGTTGGCCTTATTGATAACAAGACGCGAGATTCTTTATTTGAAGAGAGAAACTGAACTTGAAAATGAACTTGAGACTAAGTATAACATCTTTTATTGTAGGTACCTTTGATTGATAATTTATGTACTTCCTTATAGGAAGATTATTAGAATTATCATGTTGTTGGTTGATTGTTATCGAGAAAATAAGATCATAATATGTGCAAGAGGATAAATTTTATTCTCTCTAAATGTGAAATCCTACACCTAGATGTTGTGTTTCTGTTAAAGCATATGTATGTTTTCGGTTTCTTTAATAATTGTCTTCACAAAATAGAGCTAAAATTTGTGTGCACACTATCGTGCTTTCAAATTCTTTATTTTTTCTTTTTCTTTTTTTACTATATGCTAGTTTTCTTGAAGAGAATAGCCAGCAAGTGCTCTGTCTTTCTCAATTATGTTACACAATTCAAATTTTGAGAGTAAAATAATTTAATTTCAACTTTGAATTCAGGCATGATTTTTTAAAAAAAAATAAAATGTATATATTAAAAACTACATAAAAAATACAATAATTACAATACTTGATAGTTCAAGGTCTTTGAAAGAGTTAGAAAATAAATTGCGATAAAAAAAAAACTTAATTGAACCTCAAAAAGTTGAAAAATGACACATAAATTAAGACAAAATCAAGTAGTATATAAACATTAATTTATTCGGGACTTCATAATTAATGAGTTTGTTAATGTAATATATTGTAGTTATGATATGTATTAATCTCTCTTTGACATCTTTTTTTTTTTTTTTGACATCTTGGTTATAATGGTTGTTACAATTAATTAGGAGTGTATATATAGTAAATGCTATTTCTGACTCGAAATTACACACACACACACACACATACATATATATATATATATATATATATATTAATTTTAATTTTAATTTTAATTTTTAAAAAATGAGTGATTTCTTAATTAATTTATTTTAAGGTAAATACTTTCAACCTTTCAGAAATTTGGCTAAACAAATTATTAGTCAACCCATAATAACGTGTCTGCAATCACATTAATTAATTAAGTGATGGTATATATACGTGTTGTTTAATTTTAAAAGGTTCTTTATAATTGGTTATAATACATGATTTAAACCTAGAATAATTAAGTTGCCATGGTGTTGCGTTCATCCAAAGTTGCATATTTTTGGGTATTTAGGGGCCAATATACATTAATTAGGCAATTTTTTCAGTTCTTCATGTGTTTTAACCCATAAATATTTTGGTGATATAGATTCCGAATGATTTCTTTACAAAACTTTTATGGAACCTTCTGTAGAGAGTTGGGGAGCAGTACATACAATTTCATCATTTAAGAGTCATTTTTGGACATTTAGGTGCTATTTACAAAGAATACACGATTTCTTGAGTTTCTCATGTGTGTTAGCCTATGAATATTTTGATGATATGATCTCTGGACGATTTTTTTTGCGGAACCTTTACGTAAACCTTTGTAGGGAGTTGGAGGAGCAGTGTACAGTGTCATCATTTTTAGAGTCATTTTTGAGCATTTAGGGGCCAATTTACAGGAATTAGATGATTTTTCCAGTTTTTCGTGTTTGAACGCTCATGAATATTTTGGTGATATGACTTTAGGACAATTTCTGTGCGAAACATTTACAGAATCCTCTGAAGGAAATTGGTAGAATAATATGTATAGTTTCACCATTTTTAGAGTTATTTTTGGACATTTATGGGCCAATTTAAAGGAAAAAGACAATTTTTCAGTTTGTTTGTATGTGTTAGCCAATGAATAGTTTAGTGATATGACATTCGGGTAATTTCTTTGTGAAACTTTTACAGAACCCTTTGTAGGTTGTTGGGGGAGCAGTTTCACAATTTATAGAGTCATTTTGGGCATTTAAGGGTCAATTTACTAGAATTAGGTGATTTTTCTTTTATCAATTTTTCGCGTGTGTTAGCCCATAAATATTTTGGTTATATGACTTCAGGAAGACTTCTTTGCGAAACATTTACAAAACTCTCTATAGGGAGTTAGGGAGCAATACGTAAAGTCTCACCATTTTTATAGGCATTTTTAGGCATTTAGAGGTCAATTTACATGAATTAGACGGTTTTTTCATGTTTTTCATGTATAAGGGAGCAATTTGTACAGTCTTCTATATTTAGAGTAATTTTTGGGCCTTTAGGACCAATTTACAATAATTAAATGATTTTCTTAGTTTTTCGTGTGTTAGCTCATGAATATTTTGGTGATATGTCATTTGAATGATTTCTTTGTGATATCTTCACGGAACTCTTGTAGGGAGTTTGCCGAACAGTATGTATAGTCTCACTACTTTTAAAGTCATTTTGTGCATTTAGGGGCAAATTTGAATTAAGCAATTTTCTCTGTTTTCTTGTGTATTAGCCCGTGAATATTTTAGTGACATAACTTTTAGAAGATTTCTTTGCAAAAATTTTATGAAAACCTTCATATAAAGTTAGAGGAGCAGTACGTGTAGTCTCGCCATTTTTGTGAAACCTTCATATGAATTCCAGAACATTTATTTGTGAAACCTTTATGGAACCCCCATATCCATATGGAGTTGATGGAGCAATACGTATAATCTCACCATTTTTAAAGCCATTTTGGGCATTTAAGAGCCAATTCGCAAGAATTAAGAGAGTTGTCAGTTTTTCATGTATGTTAGCCCATGAATACTTTGGTGATATGACTTTCAGACGATTTCTTTGTAAAACCTTTACGAAACCCTTCCTAGGGAGTTTGGGAGCAGTATGTACATTCTCAATATTTTGAGAGTCATTTTTGGGCATTTAGGGGTAAATTTGCAGGAATTAGGTGATTTTCTTAATTTTTTCATGTGTGTCAGCTCATTAATATTTTGGTGATATGCCTTATAAATGATTTATTTGCAAAACTTTATTGGTCCTTCCATAGGGAGTTGGGGGAGCAGTACATACAAGTACTCACAATTTTAGAGTCATTTTTCGGCAGGACCAATTTATAGGACTTAAGCAATTTTTTTCTGTTTTTTTGTATGTGTGTTACTCCATGAATATTTTGCCAGTAATTGGTGGGGGTTCGTGGGTTCGGACGAAACCAAGAGCTTTTCTATAGATCATATATTTGTACTAGAAAATTAAGTACAATAACTTGTGATTCCCTAACAAAACTGATTGACGCCTCAATGATATAGAAGAAAAAGGAAATTTAGAACCCCCAAACTCCTAATACTGGATCCGCCTCTAAATTTTTGATGATATGGCTTCCATATGATTTCTTTACGAAACCTCTAGGGAACCCTTCATAGGGAGTTGGAGGAGCAATATCTACATTCTCACCATTTTTATAATTATGTTTTTTGTAAATTAATCATTCTAAGTGTGAACACTTTTTCATTTGATTACTTGAATATAAATTTGTAACTTAATAATTTGAGAAAGATAAAAGAAGTTTACTTCTTTTGGAGGCACATTGTCAAGGATAGTGAATTCAATTTTTTTTTAATACAATCTGATATTATTTGCTTTAATTAAGTTCGCACGATTTTTTTTAAAAAAAACTTACATTATTGAAAATATTTTTACACATAATATGTATTTTTATTTTTATCAATCAATATATCCGTACTTAAACACATCTCCTTGTCGAACTAAGTTTCACGTACACAAGACTTATCACTTTATGGAGTTATACATAGATCAAATAATTATGTTTTATCCAAATTATATGAGTATTTAATATTATCAAAGTATTATTGCAGATTTATTTTTTATTTATGTGTCTCTAAAGCTTTTGATAAAAAATAGATCCGTAGAATATGGAATAGGGCACTAAGATAGACACCACACCGTCACTCCAGAGTCTTCGTATTCATCTTGCTAAACTGTTAGTCGTGATATAAATTATTAAGCTAAACAATCTAAAATAAAGAGTTAATTATAACAAATACACTTGCAATATCTTGACTTTTCGAATTTTATACCTAAACTATTAGACATACGAGTTTTCTATCTGAACCATCACCAATATTTATCAACACACTTCAACTATCAATTTTTTCTTTTTGTTTTTTCTACCTGAAATATCCCCATTGTTCAAGTATGAAACACAAACAATTGATAGATAAAGTGTGTTTTTGATAAATAGATGGTCATCGTTCAAATAAGAAATTCACAACACGTGATAGCTTAGATACGACACTCGAAAACCGAGATTCTTTAAAGGCTTGCTTGGTTGAAGAATTATCCCGATATTCATAAAAATAACACTACAAGTCTACAATTCCAAAATAAGATAGTGTTTGGATTGAATTAAAAGTTGGTCAAACCTGTTTTTAAGTCAGTTTTTGACTTCTAAAAGTGTTTGACTAATATAAAATAACTTCAAATGAGTAAAAGAAAAGATTTTAAATAAGTTGGGAAGTATTTGGTAAAGTTAAAAATAACTTAAATAATTTTTAAATGACTTAAAATAAATTAAAAACCAAAAATAGTCCTCCTCTATTTTTTATTTTTGATTTAACAACTTTTTTTTTTAAGTCAATCCAAACGGACTCTAAGTTATTTCACAATTTTTTTCCAACCAAATATGAAATAAATTTATTCTAAAAATTAATCATCTCTTATTACTGTACCATATGAATTTAAAGTGTGTTTTTAATACTTAGCTCGGAAGTAAATGAATAAATAAATAAAAACTCAGAACAAGACAGAACACTCAACACTGTTCACTCTGATTCAGCTCCAAACACACACACAAAAACCTGAGATCTGTCGATCTCATGGTGTACAATGTTTTTCGATGAGCAATTCTTTTGATTTCATTCGAAAGTTGTAATCTTTTTCATATATAAGCATTATTGGATTGAAGAGAAAATTGAAAAGGGGGGAAAATGAGTGGACCTTTGATAAGTTCAAGGGCATTTGATTGGTATACAGGGCAGATGATAATTATAGCCCTTTTGGTAATGGTGGGTTCTTTTTACACTGGTACACTTTTTGGCGAAAACCCATCTCTCTATATTCATCAAGAACAGCAACAAAGTGAAAATTTCACTGTTGATTCCAACCCCATTTCTTCAGAGTCATCCTCTGGTGAGTCCTCTGTTTGTCTTTTTCAAGAATGGTAGTGTTTAGAGTGTTCTTTAGTTATAGAAAAAAGGGAGTCTTGTAGCAACGGTAAAGTTGACATCTTGCCTATGTCACACTCCTTGGAGTTGTGCCCCTTTACTGGATCCTGTATGAACATGGGATGTTTTGTGTACCGAGCTGCCCTTTTTAATTATGTCATAGAATAGTAGTAGAGTAAATTGCATATGTGTGGACTTTTTGGTAAATGAGGGTCACTAACATGTAGATTGTTGAATGTTTGATAATCAAGGAAATGGAGTTCAAGTCATGTTGCTTATGAAAGATTTTAAGTAATTTATTGTTTTTCCCAATGTAACCAAAAAAGATTGCAGCTTTTTGTTTGTTAAAAGAATTTAAAGAATGTTTGAATGGACTCCAGAATGGTAATTGGGATGGGGTAGTAATTGTTAGTGTGCGACTGTAGGAGAGATATGCTGAGAGAATTTGATTTTAGTCTATCATAAACAGCCTCTATACCTCTACGAGATAGGGGTAAAGTTTGTGTACACTCTACTCTCCAAGACACACCCGTGGGATTACATTGGGTATGTTGTTGCACTGGGGAAGCTAGTCTTTCAGAATACAAGTAGCTTTCGACTTCCCTGTGTATATGGTTGGTGGAGAGGTGGGGGATTAAAATATGAAAAAGAAATGATTTTGAGTTGCTTATGTGATTGGTAATGTTTGCTGCGAAAAAGTTGTTGAAATTTCCTTCTAGGTGGGTTAATTAGATGAAAAAATGATAACTTTCTTTGGTTATAAATGATAACTAGGCGCCGTTCTTGTTATGCTGGAGCAAGATAGAAACCCAATGGATAAAGAATGATACTTAGTATTGTTATCATTGTCTTGTAGCTTATCTATGTAACTGGGTTGTCTCAGAAGGTTTTAGTGTAAGGGCAGTGCATCTTACTTGTATCAATTTTGCCTTTCTTCGGCTTAAGATGAATCTATAGCTCCCTTGTATCTCAGAGATACTGACCCTCCTACTTGAATCTGATCTTTATGTATGCATGGGCAAACTTGTTTTTTCTCGAGGCGAATCAGTATGGGCATTGTTCTGATTACTCTTGAATGGGGCTTGTTAGAAATTATGGCATGGTTACTTAGTTAAAGCGGAGGCTTTAATCCTACCACAAGCACAAAATCCATTTGGCTAGTGCAATGGGATATAGGTCCACTGGCTTCTACTTTGTCAACTAGGTTTGGTAGAGATTTGCAACTTAGACAATGTCCGTAAGAGGAGATCTAAATGCTAGTAAAATAATGTATGTCATAATATGTCACAATGATCCCACCTAAGGTTGTAAAATGAGGATATCATCAGAACCCCTCAATTTAACCCTCTTAAGGTTCAAGCACCTGGTTCATGAACTCATAATGTCCTTGCTGTGCCCTAAGTGCAATTTTAGGTATATCAGTTTCAAGCATCCTGATTTGGCAGTATCGCGACCTTAGATCCAATTTAGGGAAATATTTATCCTATTTAATTCATCTAACAACTCCTCTATGTCATGTAGTAAACTTGTTCTCGACTGTGCGACTAATTAACTCTTAGTCCCACACATCCTTCAACAATCTTCTTTATTTTTAACCATCACTATTTATCCTCCTTGTCAACCTTACTACTCGGGAATTCCCTCAAGAAACTGAGATGCTTTCTTTCAGGGCGGTCAACATGTGTCCATCCATGTGCATTTGTGTTCTGCCTTTTCTTTACCATTGTATTTTCCTTAAATTTGTCACTCTCACCCTCGATGTCAGTTTCCCTCCGCTGCGGAGAGCAGTCCCTAATTGGTTGAACTTTGAGCTCTCAGAGTTGACTCTCTTTTCTTTGGCTGCTTTTACTGGCTTCCTGTTATCGGAATCTCTGATCCATATATTTTAATAGTAATATGCATGCAGGTAGAGAACATGAGGTGCCTATTTGTATAGAAGATTGGTTGTCTTTCGTAGAGAACATACCTTACTGTAGATTTTCTACTTTCTGCTGTACCTCTTGTTTACGGGAGATTCCCATTATTACACTTGACTTGATAAAAAAAATTATATGCATGCAGGTATTCTGAAGTTCAGGAACAAGATTGCTCTTTCTTATCGGGTGGTACCTCTCACTATCCCTGAAACTGGGATAAATGTATGTCCTCTGAAATTTAATGAGTATATCCCCTGTCATGACATTTCTTATGTTAAAGAGTTGATGCCAAAATTAGATCTTTCAAGGAAAGAAGAGCTAGAGAGGCACTGTCCTCCTCTTGACAGGCGCTTGTTTTGTTTGGTTCCACCTCCAGCTGATTATAAGATACCAATAAGGTGGCCAACTAGCAGGGACTATGTCTGGCGGAGTAATATAAACCATACACATCTTGCAGAGGTAAAAGGAGGACAAAATTGGGTACATGAGAAGGATCAGCTTTGGTGGTTTCCAGGCGGTGGAACTCATTTTAAGCATGGAGCTACAGAATATATTGAGAGGTACGCGGTCTGTTTTTCTTTCACTTCTCCTGTCCCTGTCATTATTGGAGTTGCAGCTTTTTGATTATTCCATGAAAAATGAAAATCGACACAATAAGGCTTCCCTAAAGCAATTTAATGAAGCCATTTGTACTAGATGATCCATTACACTTACTAAGAATGGTGAAAATCAATTCTTTACGCTACCATACTTCTATGTATCTGATGTACGTAATTCATTTCTTCAATGCAGATTAGGAAATATGACAACTGATGAGACAGGTGACTTGCGTGCGGCAGGGGTATATCAAGTGCTTGATGTTGGTTGTGGGGTTGCCAGTTTCTCTGCTTATCTTCTTCCACTTAACATAGAAACACTGTCTTTTGCTCCCAAAGATGGTCATGAAAATCAAATTCAATTTGCTTTGGAACGAGGAATCGGTGCTATGATATCTGCTATAGCTACAAAGCAGCTACCGTATCCAAGTAACTCTTTTGACATGGTCCATTGTTCCAGATGTCGAGTTGATTGGCATGAGAATGGTGAGTATTTCTTTCATTAAACATGCGAACCCTGTATACTTAAATGTTATTGACCTAGATCATTAAATAAGGAAACTGTATCTAATTATTTGGCTTTCTACATCATATATGTTAATAGTACATAAATTTGCAAATTTCAATGAATTTAATGCTGTGTTAGAATCTACAGGCCTTAGATATCCTCCATAATAGACTTGTTCCACCGGCTTGATCATCAAGGAGATAATAGCTTATTCTTTTTATATCAAGTAAACTTTACTCAAGACACTCTCGTGTCAACTAAACTGTTATAGCTGAGTTTCGAAGTATGAATATGACTCTGGTTCTCTAAGGTATTTGAAGGAGATTATCTAAGGTAGTCTTTTCATTATATGCTACCCATGCATGCAGCAGCGGAGACAAGAATTTTACTAAGGGATGTCAAAATATAAAAAAAATAGACACACATAAAAGTTAAGGGAGTCATCTTCACCAGAAAATATACTGTTTAGTTGGGTCAAAATTTCAGTTTTATGTATATATACTATTTAGCCATATAGTATATATACATAAAACTAAAATTTTGACAGTTAAACAGTATAATTTTCTAGCGAAGGTGGCTCCGCCACTGCATGCATGTCATGTAAATACACTATTATTGTAATTGAAGGAGATTATCTAAGGTACTCTTTTCATTATATGCTACCCATGCATGTAGCGGCGGAGACAAGAATTTTACTAAGGAGTGTCAAAATATAAAAAAAATAGACACACGTAAAAGTTAAGGGAGTCACCTTCGACAGAAAATATACTGTTTAGTTGGGTCAAAATTTCAGTTTTATGTATATGTACTGTTTAGCATACAGTATATATACATAAAACTAAAATTTTGACAAATAAACAGTATAATTTTCTAGCGAAGGTGGCTCCGCCACTGCATGCATGCAGCGGCGGAGACAAGAATTTTACTAAGAGGTGTCAAAATATAAAAAAAATAGACAGACGTAAAAGTTAAGGGAGTCACCTTCGCCAAAAAATATACCGTTTAGTTGGGTCAAAATTTAAGTTTTATGTATATATACTGTCTAGCCATATAGTATATATACATAAAACTAAAATTTTGACAGTTAAGCAATATAATTTTCTAGCAAAGGTGGCTCCGCCACTGCATGCATGTCATGTGTTTAGTTGGGTCAAAATTTAAGTTTTATGTATATATACTGTCTAGCCATATAGTATATATACATAAAACTAAAATTTTGACAGTTAAGCAGTATAATTTTCTAGCAAAGGCGGCTCCGCCACTACATGCATGTCATGTAAATACACTATTATTGTAATTGAAGGAGATTATCTAAGGTAGTCTTTTCATTATATGCTACACATGCATGCAGCGGCGGAGACAAGAATTTTACTAAGGGGTGTCAAAATATTAAAAAAAAAGACAGACGTAAAAGTTAAGGGAGTCGCCTTCGCCAGAAAATATACTGTTTAGTTGGGTCAAAATTTAAGTTTTATGTATATATACTGTTTAGCCATATAGTATATATACATAAAACTAAAATTTTGACTGTATAATTTTCTGACGAAGGTGGCTCCGCCAATGGAGGCATGTCATGTAAATACACTATTATTGTAATTGAAGGAGATTGTCTAAGGTAGTCTTTAAATTATATGCTACCCATGCATGCAGCGGTGGAGACAAGAATTTTACCAAGGGGTGTCAAAATATTAAAAAAAATAGACAGACATAAAAGTTAAGGGAGTCACCTTCACCAGAAAATATACTGTTTAGTTGGGTCAAAATTTTAGTTTTATCTTTTATGTATATTTATGGTTTAGCCATATAGTATATATACATAAAACTAAAATTTTGATAGTTAAACAGTATAATTTTCTGGCGAAGGTGGCTCCGCCACTGCATGCATGTCATTAAATACACTATTATTGTTTTACAATGCTAAAATGCATTTTTCATAATGGTGTGCTGCAGATGGTATTCTACTCAAAGAGCTGAATCGGATATTAAGACCAAATGGATATTTTATCTATTCAGCTCCTCCTGCCTATAGAAAGGATAAGGATTTTCCGGAGATATGGGACAAACTAGTAAAGCTGACTTCTGGAATGTGCTGGAAGCTTATTGCACAGAAAGTTCAGACTGCAATATGGGTTAAGCAAGAAAATAATTCATGTCTTCAGCATAATGCTCAGGAGAAACTTGTAAACTTATGTGATTCTAAGGATGATTTGAAGCCGTCATGGAAAACACCTTTGAGGAACTGTGTTACCCTTAGTGACACTTCATCTTCTTTGAAGAAACTACCTCCTCGACCACAACGTCTTTCAGAGTATTCACAAAGTCTCAGTCGGATAGGTTTGTCAATTCTCATCCTTGGTTTAGTTGTGTTCATGAATTGTCATCTCTTACTCTGAAATCAATTGTAGCGAATATATTCCTCATGCTCATTCACATGGTAAAGAAATTAGATAATCTATAGTGTTGTAAGTTTGATTTTTCAAGAAAATCCGCTTAGATTGTCTAAGATAAGGTGAAGAATTTGCATGATCTGCTATATGCTGTAACTATTCCAGTTGTCCAACTATGTTTTATTTGTCCTCATTATTGTTTATCATTATCTTGTTCTTCAATTTTTTTACTACCGTTGTTTCTTTTACTTTGGCTATCTTTACTACTTTTGCTGTCATTCAATACTTTCTTTTTTTCCAATAATCAGTCAACAAGTTTGCTTTTGTGGTTCCTTTTCATTTCTCTCAAACTGTTAGTGTTATTTTTTTCTCAGCTGTTAATGTTACTTCTTCTTTTTTTAATCGGTTTCTCAACGGCTAGTGTTATTATCACCTCTAAGATATCATTTCTGGCCTAAAATGCTAATATTATGCTTGATGATAATTGAGACTGTTGCTCCATTCAGTGGTGGAATCAGGGCAAGGGGGTTCATTCGTTTATACAAGGTTAAAATTATTTTTTACGTATATATTGGAGATGTTGAATCCGCTTGGCTTCTTCATGTATTTACTTCATCATATTTTTGAACCTCCTTAATGAGAATCACCGACTCCATTTGACACAGAAAATACCGGTTTGTTCATCTGCACCGTAAAAGAGCTAAGCCCGGAAGTCACGGAGCTCTCTTCTCTTTCAATGGCAGCAGCTAGTTGAAGTTCAGTGTCAGCCGGATTTCTAAGCACTAGTCTTTCCTTCTCACTTTCTAACTCATAGAAAGAAATAGAGTCAACCCATGCGCCTTTTGCGGGGTGAGCAAAAATCCTTTCCCTGGATCCTGGTATGAACTCAATCCGTCCCATTCGGTGAAGCAATCTTGGACCCTCTTGGCTGCGTTGTGCTTGGATGCACTAGTCTTCCACGCCAGCGATGAGCTGAAACCTGCCCCCATTCGGTGGTTCATGTGCCACCACAATGGCATAGCATCAAAAGAGTGACCGGAACCTGACCCTGACCAGCTCGTAAGTAGCATTGCACTGCTGGTCGGCACAACGGAGCATCAAAAGCAAGTCTTTTTAATTGCCCCGCTGACCTTTTCTAAAAGTACTTTGGATCGGAATCTGGTTGTAAAGTAAAGAAGGGTGGTGCGCTTACGAATTCGATTTATTTTGATAGAAAGAAAAATCAGAATTGGTCCTGGGTCATCGTTTTTCAACTATCCGCTGTTAAATCTGGTCTAGCCAGCGGACAATTGAAAAACAATACGACCCAGGACCAATTCTGGTTCTTTCTATCAAAATAAATCAAATTCGAAAGCGCACCACCATTCTTTACTTTACAACCAGCCTCCGACCCAAGGTGTTTTTAAAAAAGGTTAGAGGGGAAATAAAAAAGACTTGCTTTTGATGCCCCGCTGTGCCGACCCACAACAGGATGCTACTTACGAGCTGGTCAGGGACAGGTTCCTGTCACTCTTTCGATGCTATGCCATTGTGGTGGGCTGGTGGCAAGGGAACCGCCGAATGGGGATAGTTTTCATCTCATCGCTAGCATGTGAAAGACTAGTGCATCCAAGCACAACGCAGCCAAGAGGGTCCAAGATTGATTCATCACTCCAGAGGTTGTTCCCATCATTGAAGTCAGGGTGTAGGACTGAGCCTTCCAAATGAGAAAGAAGAAAAGTGCTTAGTTTCATTGGAAAAACCAATGCAGATATCATATTGACTCTCTCATCCTACTTCTAAAGATAGATAGAAAAGGGTTGGAGAGAATTTCAGAAAGTCATTCTCTCCTTTCTAAAGCTGCGCAAGGTGGCCCCCAGAACAAAGCCCACCCCTCTTTTCCCCCTTTAATGAAGGACCCTCGCGTTGCTTCCTATCCATTTGTGGGTGGTCTGGACCCGGTTTTTTTTCAATTTTGAGATTCAACCAACGGAAAAATTCGTAGCCCAGGTGACTCACAGCCTCCCTCTCGCCCAAATAAATGGGATGAATTGGAATGGCTTAACTTACTCCCCATACGAGATCGGAAAGGAAGCTAGCGAACCTAGGGTCACCAGCTTTTGGTCTGAATACAGATATAACGAATATCTTTGTAGATGATCCTTCTAGTAGAGGGGGATTCTAACAACCTTTGGTTCAAAGAGAAAAGGAAACGAAACAATAAAGGTTCACTTTCATTGGTGCTACCCCCTACACGTATATTGGGGTGAGAGTGGAATACGACACATGTTCCTTTGGGGGTTTTGAATAAGGAAGCTTTACGGAGATTATCATTTCATTTTTTAGGAAGTCTCATATGTCTGACATGCTCAAATCAATTTCTTGCAGGTATTGATCGTGAAAAATTCTTGGCTGATACAATCTATTGGCAAGATCAAGTTCGCCATTACTGGAGACTGATGAATGTTGAGGAGAAAGAAATACGTAATGTAATGGACATGAGTGCTTCCCTAGGTGGATTTGCTGTTGGTTTAAATACATGGCCTGTCTGGGTGATGAATGTAGTTCCTATAACCATGAATGACACCCTGTCTGCTGTTTACGGCAGGGGTCTTACAGGCGTTTTTCATGACTGGTAGGCTATTAACTTAGTTTACTTACCTATAAGCACTAACTGATTTACAAAGGCTAGGCCTAACAAATATCTTGGTCGAATTTGTAGGTGTGAGTCATTCTCCACATATCCTCGCACTTATGATTTGTTGCATGCCAATCATCTTCTTTCTCACTACAAAAATCGTGAAGAAGGTTGTTTAATTGAAGATATCATGCTGGAGATGGACCGTATTCTACGACCTCAGGTAAGGAGTTTCATTTTGATTTGATGCGTGAGAGACTAAATATTTAATCAATTGATTAACTGAAAGCATCTGCAAGATTGATTTTTTACATTTGACAGTTTAGAATAAGCGTATTAGCTTGATATATGACATATGTTAAAGAGAGAACTCCTCAGAAAAGGAATCATTTAGTTTCTCGTATATTTAATATATTTATTTGAATCAGTTGTCAAGGTACAATATCCTATTTTACAACAGCATAGTACCTCAGTACCTCAGTGTAATCCCACAAGTGGGGTCTGGGAAGGATAGGATGTACATAGGCCTTACCCCTACCTTTGTAAGGTAGAGAGTTGTTTCTGATAGACCCTTGGCTCGAAAGAAAGAAAAGAATTCGAAACATGGTAGCAAGAAAATATGACAGCAAAATAGCACGGTACAAAGCAAATGAAGAAAAGGAATAGTCAAAGATAGTAATACACATTGAAAATATGATCCTTGATCTCCAATTCTCCTCGTGAAGATGGAACTAGAAATGCATTGGTTTCCCAAGCATAACTTAGACATTCTGCTACTTGTTCTCAAGTTCCTTTATTAAAGAAAAACAACTTGTTCTCAAGTTCTACACTGACAATTTCTTGACAGAGTTTTAATTAACATAACGCGACTACCAATTTTCTTTGAGCTTAGTTTGTTGGACGAGAGTTTGTGTGATCATTCATATAAATCATCTTTTAGAGGTGCAAAAGGATGTTCCTTTGTAAGGTGGGGTTTTACAATGAACAATTTCGATCGGTGGAAATGTGACAAAATCAGAAAGTTTCTTATTGACTAATTTATGCTGAGAAAAATGGCCTACCTTATGCTACATATATATGTCGACTGAATTGAGCTAAACAAGATCCAGCTTGGATATACGTTTAGCGATTGTGACATGTGAAATCCCATTGTGAATATTCATTTATGCTTGTGTCCTGAAGTTTCAAATGCGAACCAATCTAAGGTTGTCAAGTGACATGCAGGGATTTATCATTATCAGAGATGAAGAGCCCATCATATCAAGAATACAAGCTCTTGCTCCTAAGTTTCTCTGGGATGTCGAACTTCATTTTCTAGAGAACCATCAGAGAAAGACGGAGCCGGTCTTATTTTGCAGGAAAAAGTTTTGGGCTATTGCCTGAGGTAGTTTTGCCCGTGATTGCTAGTCGAAAGGCAAATGTTACTATCTTCTGGATTGTTCTAAATGTCCCTTATGCAACTACGGGAACTTCTGATGGTTCACTTCTATCTTTTCCTACAGCTCACGACTAACCTTGAACCGGCCAATCCCACATGGATGTAGAAGCCCACGAGTCATGAACTTCTTTACCTTGAGTAGAAGCAATGACGGTATCTGAGGGATAAACATATTCATTATATTTGTGTAACTTATTTGTTGAATGGTAAATTCATTTATGTTTCATAGTTAATGTTTTCGGTTTTATCAGTTTGCAGGAAAGCCAATATGTAGTTCTTAACTTTGTAATTGTTGTATACATGATAGAACAAATTCATTACTGTAACATAAAGAACTGAGTTTTGTCACAGCTCTTCATTTTCCTATATTGTTTCGGACTCTTCAAAATTGTCGACATGTGCGTGTCATATCTTCTAAAAGTAGTGTATTTTTAAAAGATACGATAACATTTTTGGAGAGTCTGACCAACACTGAATTAATTGTTCCTTCTCAATGCTATTATTGCCAAGAGTTGGTATCCATTAAATTTCTCATTTGTTGCATTTTCAACTAGGACATAAAGTAATATATATATTCATGCTTTGTCTCTCAATTAATACCTCTCTCTTTCACATCACATCAGCAACTAACTTCCAGGACTTTAGGTTGCTTTTGAAATGAAAAAAGGTGAAAAAGTTGTGTGTTTCTTTGTTGATAGTAATTGAAATTAGATACCGCGAGAATTCATATAGCGGACTTTAACTTATTTAGAATTGAGAAGTAGTAGTTGTTACTTAGCCGGTTAGCGCGTACCTTGACTGGTTTATTAGATACATGTTGTCTTTTCACCAATATAATGTGTAGACATCACCCTTTCTAGACTTCACTTGTGAAATTTTTCTCGATATGTTATAATTAAGTTTTAAAAAAAGTAAAATGACCTCCACTTCATAGCATCCATGAAGATAGCAACAACTAATTACTATTAAAGTACTGTATTTTAAAGTTCCTAACAAATAGTGCCAATATATAGGGACAAGATTTTTAAAACAAGGAAAAGAACATTAATGATAAATGAAGCTATTGACATGACAAGACTACCCCATACTGGTGAGTCATTGACCCACTCTCTTCACACATCTTAACTCTCCTTGTCTCCTAGCGTTCGAAATTCTTTCGTCGAAAAATTATACTCTATATAAATAAAATAAAAATATAATTAATTACATATACACCATGATCAATTGGCTTTTTTTAAAAAAAAAAAAATAGTATAGATAAAATAATTATCTAAGTCATGAGATCATATCAAACTACATTAACATATTTAGTGTAATTTCATAAAGCGTGCCTACGCGACCTTATTCATGTCTTGAGAAGGTAGAAATATTATTTCTGATAAAACCACAACTCAAATAAAGCAATAACATAAATTAAGTATGGAAAACAGTATTGAAACAATGAATAAGAAGAATAACAACAAACAAATAATATAATAATCAAAACTAAGGAGATAATAAAAGCAAAGAATAAAATAATATTGATATGTAACTAGACAACATGTGACTGCCTACTAAGTACTAAGTTTCTATATATCCTAATCCTTGACCTATAATTTTTTTCTATATAAAATCATGTCGTCGATAAGTTACAGATGTATCATGTATTGTCTAGTTCTCTCCAAAAACTACTATAGTATTATTCCATTACAAGTCCTCTACTCCACAAGCGACACCTATACTATTATAAATTATTTTAAGTCACAAGTTCAAATCGAATTATATATGACGTTATACCATTATTTGAATCTTCTTATATAAATTTTTGACTCCGACTCCGATGGCCCCACTTCTCTACACCTTATCTCTTTGCCAGAGTCTGCTACTTCCTTCTGCTAGAATACCTATGGTCCCTTTGACTCTATCACTTTATAATATATTGGCTAAATAATTTCTTTTTTTCACTCTATATTATAGTAGCAAAGAAACTAGTCCTGCTATTTTGTTTCTGGTTTTTAAGGTTACCTTTCTTTAGATCTTTTATTGGCTCTTCTTCATTACCCCTCCGTCCTGTTTTATGTGATATTATTTAACTTAACACGATGTCTAAGGAAAAAATGAATTTTTTTGAAATTTGTAATCTAAAACAATTCTTAGATATTTCTATTTCAATAAATCATTTCGCTAAGATTAAATTATTTTTAATTGTGATAAAAATAATATTCTTTTTGGATCGGACTAATTATGGTGGGGTGGGGGTGGGGGGGGGGGGTTGGGAGTTGCTCGTGTGCATGCAGGCACATGAGTACGTACAAATAACCAGTAGAAGTACTTGGTACTATTTTATATCTCTTCTATGATATATCAACATCATATATGTATGGGCCTTAGTAGTAGGTAATAGACAAAACAAGGCCCATTTGATAACAATTTTGAAATAAAATACGAGATTATTTAATTGAGAAAATCATAAAAATATCGGTGCTTTGAGCCCTAACCACCTATCATAGCGATAGTTTACCTAAAAAACTTGTGATACTAGTACTGCATATCGATCAGCTTTGTATCGTATGTTCTCTTTATATCGACCTGATGTGTAAATCGAGCGAATATATACAATGACTACGAAGCGAATCGATACAAATCTATATATGCAAACATATACAAATCGACAGATAAAATCCAAACTTTCACTATATATTATAATTTTTGTAAACGCTTACTACTTTGGGTATATACATGACATATGTTTGCCTATTAGATAATTTACCCTATTTTATTTCACATTTGGTTATAAATATTAGTTTGTCCTATGAACTATTATGTATTGAAATGATGGAATTAGCTATCTCATATTAGAAAATAATATAGTTATAGTCTCATGAAAAATCCTTGTCTAGCGCACTATCCCATTCCGCTATTTGTTAGAGAACATCATCCGCCTTTGTTTGAGAATGTTTTAATCTCTCAACGTGGGACTTTTTCAACGTCAAATTTAATCGGACATCAATATAAATACAACACCCCGAGGAAAAAGCATAAAAAAAAGTGCCAAATTACAGTTACCACTTGCAGGCACACATTATGGTGCTTCCTGCTATCCATTCCATAAGTACACTGACATGAATTTCCTCTTTAACATATCTTATTTGAAAATAAAATAAAATATTTAAATTTATTATATATATATATATATATATATATATCTTTTCCCGACCACCTTTTCATAGTATAATTTTTCGATAAAACAAATTCATACGAACTCTTTTCAATACCCTAGCTCCACCCTATTGACAAGCATATTTCTTTTTCATACCAAGAGTATCAGTATAATTTTTTTAAGTTGCTTATTCTTAGACCTTTAGCGCTGCTATTTGATTGTTTCTATCGCTTCAGTTATCTTATTATCTTATTGTTATTGTCCGCTATTATTTCTATCATCTTTCGGAAACAACCTCCATATACTATAACAAAATAGAAACAAAATAATTTACATACGCACTACTCTTCCCGAACCCTACATGTAAGATTACATTGTGTTTGTTGTTGAGTAAACTGTTTGAATAGTCAATTTAGTAGTTAACATATTCTGCAAAAAGAGAAGGAAAGATAGTTGAACAAGTTAAAAAGAGAGGCAAAAGGAATAATAATAAGGTGAGGGAAGACTGATAGAAATCAGACATATTATTTTTATCACAATAAGAACATATTATTCATCCCTTATCTTTTCCTTCAAATCAAAACCCCAAAAAGGGTGATTTTTAATTAGTCAATTCACTAATTTTAAGCCACACCTTATTGTAATAAAAAATTATTATCACTAGTGTAATTTTAGGTTACACCCACTACATCAGAAATGATCTTTAATGACAATAATTTAATTATCGTTAAATATATTATTATTTTTCTAGCAATTACCATTCTTTATAAATGTGTTTTTATCTGGTGTCTCATACCTACATTAAAATTTGATTTATACTGAAAAATCTACATTAAGAATAAAGCGTTTTCTAACAAAAACGACTTCATACCTAAAGAAATTCGAACTCAAAATCTCTGATTGACGAAGAAATACTTATCATTCCTTTATGATATAAAATATTTCGTACATCATAGAAATGAAAAATAAAAAATGAAGTGAAGTGCCATAAATGGCACGTGGAAATCAGTGCAACATAATTTGCCTTAAACAAATCCAAGCAATAAAATCTTGTGAAGTGAAGGAAAAAATAGTTAGTGAAGTACAATATTTAGCAGACTGATGGAAAGATATATCATAGCTACCATCATTATGTTTTTTTTTTTCATTTTTCTGTTTACCTAGCGCATTTGATAGTAAATTTTGAATTAAATTTTAAAAAATTATTTTCATATATTTAAAATTTTATGTACGTTATATTTTTAAATATGCCACGAAATATATCACTCTTAAACTTTTTACAATAAGACCAATGCACTAACAACTGTGCTCTAAGCTAATTAATTTATTTAAAAACATTTCTTATCAAGATTTTTTTGCACTAATAAAACCATAATATCTTTACACTAAATTTCTGTCACTAAAATCATAATCAATTAGCTAGTTCATATTTTTATCTTGTTAAATTATTTAATCATAATAAATTAATATAATTTGTATAAACATTCGATACAAATGAGTTTATCGATCTTGTCTTATTGTGTTAATTAGTTAGGGTTCGAGAGTGTGCGTACATTGAGGAAGTAAAAATTCATTCACAGTCGATGTTTACGTAAAATCAATAAATTAAAATATTTATTTTTTAAAACTTTTGAAGATGAATATTAAATTATTTAATTTTTGTGTAAAAAATATTTACTTTTTTGGGGGGGGGGGGGGTTGGGGTGAAAGTGGGATGATATTTTGACAGGTTTTGAGTAGGAGAGGTCACTTAATAGGAGTAACTAGTAAGGCAATTGTCCAATCCTTCACATGTGTGATGTGTATATTGTCTTGTCACATCAATCTTTGAATCTTGAATGAATAGACCATAAATTTATTTATTTTAAAAGTAATTGAACATTTTTCTCTTAAAATTTTAATTTTCAATTTTTTGAGTTTTTCTAGAGATGTTTTAAATTTTTTCTCCTTTTTATAGTAAGAATTAATATTTAAAAAGTTCTTCTAGATATAGTAATAGTTTTGGCTATATTTTTCCCATCATTTAGGTTTCGGACTCCTATTACTTGTTGCTTCAATTGCTTTATTTATCTTGTTATAATATATTTTGTTTGCATTATTTTCCTTTATATTCTGTTTTGATTGCACTTTATTGAACCGATGATCTATTGAAAATAAATTATAAACTACCTTACAAAGGG